TGAAATTCGGATTCCTTGGGGTCAATTCCCTATTCAATCCCGCGGCCCCCCACTTCGCACTACCTAAACCAACCGAGAAAAAGACCTGTTACGGGTGATCTGGGACACCCTGTATAACGAAGTATTAAACAAATATGTATTGCAGGGGAAGGGTGGAGGGAGGAGAAAATATCGATAATTACAGCCTACAGCATGAATATAAGGCCCTAGCGGTGAAACAACCTCTGCCTTGCCCGCGCAGGATGGAGCGCCGCCGATAAGCCGCCCACGCGTAACCGATAACGCGCAGAAAAATCGCTATAACTCACGAACGAATCGTTTCCCCAAGATCAGACAGAGTGTGGTAGATGCAGAATTTCATGGAGAATCACCTCAACAGGTTTTTATTCACGTAGCAACGATTCCAAAGAGAGGAGAGACGAAAAACGAAAAAAAATCGAGCCAACAAAATCGAAAAAATCGATTTATGACCGTGATAAATTACGCAACCTTGCAAACAGCATTAATATTCTTGTAGAGAATATTATTTGACGTTTTTTAGCGCAAACCGCAACACTTACACTCAATCCGTTCGCGAGATATCGATTTTTAAAGTTTTAAAAAAATTGCAACTTTGCCCCCCTGCCCCCTCCCCCCTAATTATCCGAGGGGGCTGAAATTTTGCCCAAGCATCGGGGACACTTAGTACAACATCTGAGCAAAGTTTGGGCCAAATCCAGGGGGGGGCCAAAATCGGCGTTTTTGGAGGAACAACCTCTTTTGAGAATACTTTGCTTTTTAATTTGCTCATAATGTGTGACTTGTGGAAAGTTAAATGTATGCTGTGACAATGGTTTGCAGAAAGTGACCAGTATCTTTAAAAGTGAACCAAGAGGGCATTTTTTTTTGTTATTTCTTTTATAACTTCACATGCCAAGAGAAGCAGTCTCTCAGCTGTAATTTCATCTATGTTTTATGTATGCTGACTCTGCATGCCCCCTTCTGTCATAAATTTATGTCTGCATGACAATCGGTTTTGGATTTTGATGATAAATATGTTGGTTTCCACTTCTCTTGTATCACGAAAGCAATGGTCGTACTCATAGTATTTTCTTAAACAGTTATTTTTTTCTATGGAGGCCACATTTGATTTACATTTTGATTAAGGAAGATTTAATAGGCTTTTAATGTGGTATGATAAGTACAATTTTTACGGAATTGAAGTAAAACTCATCAGTTTGATTTTGGAAATGAATTCTAAATGGAAAAAAAAACAATAAATTGCCTTTATAGAAAATATGAAGCACAGAGGAAAAGATTCTATGATTTTAATAAACTTAGTTTTTTTCCTCATTTAGGATCCATTTCCAAAATCAAAGCGAGGTCTTTTATTCCAGTTTTGTATAAATTGTCCTTTCTATGATATCACATTAACAGTCTCCTTAATTCTCCCTTTATCACAGTGTGAGCTACATGTGGTCTCCCTTTTGGAGAGGAGCTGCTTAAGGAATGACTATAACTAAAACCTAAAGACTTGTTTCAATGGATTCTGAGCAGATCAAAAGTCTATTTGTGAAACTGATGAATTACTTAACGCATCCCCTTCCATTAACAAGTTTCCTTATTGCCATGTTGTAAAAAAATGTATTGGTGAGTGTACTCACATCGAGGCAAAAATATTTTCATTCCCATTATTGTTTTACGGCTAAATGTATCTTTTCAAGATTCACTATTGTGACCATCAGACTAACAATTTTTTTTTTCCAAGGAAGTATTCTTCCTTATTATCTTAATTATGATGATTTGGTTGTACAATACTTACAAGCTTTTCCTAACTTTGCTTTTACAGTTACCTCAGCGAAATGTGCCATTTTTTTTTATTTTGGCAACAATGAAACTTTCAGCGGTTATTTTCCTTGTTTTTCTCATATTGTAATGATAATATGAATTTACTGTTTCTATTTTCAACATTATTGAATAGGTTTGAGGAAATTCACAAGTGTTTGTCGCTGATGAATTTGCAAGGTTGAATCTTAAACTTGGTCACTGGGAAAAAATTCTAATGGGAGAGAACGGGTTAATTTCACTCTAAGATACTATTTTTGGTGACCTAAATGGTGAACATCTCTCAGAATGCATTGATTGATACTGCATCAAATGGATTATGTTAAACAGGAATGCACCAAGTTCCATTTCGGAGAAGAGTGAGTTGGAAGCAGTTTTGGATTTAAACAGTAGTAAATTTTCTCCTGTCAAAAATAACAAGTTGAGAAAGAACATAAGGAATGTGAAAATAGTCATTTAACCTAGTTCTAACATTGTATTTTAAGGAGGAATAAAACTAAAATTCTATTTTTTTTTTCGTTCAGAGTTCATGCAAATTGGTGATTTTCTGTTAAACTTTGTCCAGTTTTTCTGAATGTCTTGAAAGTAGCCTAAGCGTCAATTGGACAGAAAAGTTGAAAAAGGACATAGCTGCCAAAGTTTCTGAACTCAAGTTTTTGATGATCTACTATTCCTTAAGGATGCATTATTGTACCAAGCAATTATGCTGAAACTCTTAAAGTCCTTTTCTTTGAAATATAAATCTCTTCTTGAATTGAGAAAAGGGTAAAAAAGTCTGCACTCTTCCTATTGCCGGACAAACTTTCATTAGTTAGTAAAATTTACCCAATTTGTCTGAACCTGTATGCGGGATACTTGTAGTGTGGATAGCTACTAAAAACCGTTCAATTTTTTCAGTCAGCAAGACAAAGTATTGTCAAAGGAAGGCAAGTTTTTCTCATTTCCATATTTAACTCTTGGTGGTTACACCCTTTTTCTACTTAATAGTCCAACTAGAAAATAATTATTTAAAACTTGATCTGCTGTGGATTCCAACTAATTATCATTTCTCTCTGTCTGTACTTATTTCTGTAGATGTTTTTATCGGGGGGGGGGTTGTTGTCCACGAGTTGAATAGCTTTCAATAGGATATCACATTCTCAAACCATGATTTAAAACCATGCAAGGGAAGAAGGTTCCTTGAGCTATGCGATCAGCCTCTGAACCTACCAAAAGTGTTGCTTGACTGTGCCTAACGCATGATTGCATGTGTTACTTTCAATTTTGGTGTTTTTCTTTACTTAATTTGGTAAGCTACCTAAAGAAAACATTCTAATCCCTCAACTTAACCAATTATTTATTTCTTCCACTTAGGAAAATGGTAAAAGTGATTTTCCGTATGACAGTGCAGTCTTCTTGGGTCCAAAATGCTTTCATTTTAGACTGACCCTTCTCCAATCTTTTTCTCTTTTCCATCAGAATGTTTTATGTCTCCGATTCTAGAAGTGTGGATGAAAAGAGGGAACCAGATTTTTGCTTAGTGGACAGGGTTTATTTCTCTAATGTAATGAATTTTAATGGAAATCGATCCAGAAGTGTTGTTCGCAATCATTCAACAACTCCATCGTAAGAATAAAATAGAAATAATGGATCTAACAAGTACTTAGGATAAAAGTGAGACAATATTTGAATGAATTACTGATTATACAGTGATAGCCTAACTGTCTGATCATTTTCCTAAACAAAACATCCGGAACTTATCGAAGTCCTGTTTTCTTACGTATCCAGAATCAGCCAACGAAATACATCAGATGTCGCCTGATTTCCTCTCATGTTCTGTTTCTTTTACCAGAAAACTAAGCAACATTCTGACATGAAACTTGTGAGAATATTTTAAGGAAAATTCAGTGTAAGTTTCACGGCATTATATCGTTGCTTTCTCTGTCGAGAGAATAAAACATAAGGGGAAGTTTGTGAGGAAGTTTTGTTCAGCTTTTTTTTTAATATATTAATCTACTAATAAGTGTAAAACAGTGAGCATGAGGTACAATTCTCTCTTGTGGAAACAATCGCATGCGTCTTTGCCACTGCAGTCTTTTTTCACTTTTTTTATCTGCTTGGTCAACAATTGTCATTGAATTTATTTGCTTTGTTTGTTTAATTGCTTTCTTTCCTTGCAGCCAGATGATCATAAGTCTCACATTAAGCCGAACACTCGTGGGAGGTGAGGGTGGCAATTTTTACCCTTGATGATACCCGATCTTAGTTGTGTTGTGACGCCTTATTCTATACACTGTTCTCTTGTTATTGTTAATTTTCTTTTTTGTTATAGGTGAGAAAAGAGTTTTTCCCTGCCCGCCCAAAAGGGCACAAGAAACGAAAATGCGAAAATACCAAAAATAGTAGTCAAAGTAACCTCAAATTTTCCGACTCGGAATCTGAGTCAAGTTTGCATGATGCTGACGAGATGAAAGATTCTAGTGTCATTGTTGCACCAAGTAGCTCTCAGTCGACTGTGACGAGTAAAGACAGCCACATCGATAGTTCGAGCGATTGCGATGAAAGTTCCTCAGATTCTAAAGTTAGAAATTATGTGAAGCAGATTTCTATATCGACAGACTCTGGTCTCTCTGATGTAGCTAATGAATATCAAGAAGAAAGTAGGAATTGTAACATTTGTTTGAAGAATCCCAAAAATGCTGGTTTCTTCCATGGCGGTAAAGTCCATGTTTACTGCTGTTATAAATGCGCAAAGAAAGTTTGGCTCTACTTCAAAAAGTGCCCTGTCTGCAATAGGAAAGTAAGTTGTGTTGTGCGACTTATATTCAGCTAGGAATTAGGTATATTAATTAATTTCCTCTCAACTAGTTTTTCATGAACTGGTTTCTTAAATTTATCAAAATCAAAACATTTCCAGTCGCAAAGATTGCATTTTGGCAGATATGAATTCTCGGTGCTCTTACTTAATACTGAGTTGGAAGTCTAATTAATCCGTATCTCTTTATAATGCAAATTTTCAATAAGTAAAATCTTTGCTTTCATTGTTCTGAAAGAAAGATAAAATTTATCCTCTGGTACAGTAGCTGAGTATGAAATAAGCCAGAATCAGATCTGTCTCTTGAAGTCTCTTCTTCTCTTCCTCCTGTGGATTAAAAAAGAAAAAAACAAAACAAAATTTTTATGCTGTGCAGCTATTGAAAATCTGAAGCAAAGTTCATTGTTGAATTTTTGTAACTTTTTATCCATTTCTTTATTTATTGATTTCAAAATCTGCCGAAAATCAAGAACGGGTTTTCTAGTGTACTTCAGTGCAGAGTCTAATTAAACTTGACTTGCATTGTTGATTTCGAGTCAGGTTCATTTTTGTAATTTTACTCAGGGCTTGTTCAGTTTTGACTTGACTCCTAAGAGTTAGTCCAAGTACTGATTAATGATAACTTCCTGAAGATAATGTCGCAACCATTAAACAATTTTAATACCGACAAGGTAGAAAAATAAATTTTAGGAAATCGTAACAATGACCGAACACTATAAAATACGATGATAGACTCTAATAAAGGAAAACTTGTCCAAAAAATCTCTATCTACTCATAGCACACTACATATTCAGGACTACCACAGCAAGGGTAACTAAGCTTACACTAGGGAAGTGCGATCCTCAATATGATTGATTGATCTAGCCTTAAATCCATCAACTTCAAAAATCGTATGAGAGGTAACTGGATACAAGAAACCAAGTGTAATTAGCTGTAACATATTGTCTGCAGACTTTAAAAGAATCTAGTTACAATAGAGGGAGATTGTTTTGACATTTTCCAAGTTCTACCAAAGAATTTTTGTATATATCACAATTAGTTTCGTTTGTACATGAAAATCTGTCTTGTATGTGCGAGAATCTGTCCAAATGTGTTGATGTTGCAAAAAGCTCTATCAGAGTTTCTAAATTGATTTTAACCATCCACAGAGCTTTGGAACAAAACTGATCAAGCACTAAAATTTGAATATACTTAAAATACTATTTTGTCGGATCTCTGTCTCAAAACACTTTTGAGAATACAGATGAGAAAGAATCAAAGAGTGCGTCTTGCGTGAACCTCTCTACTTATGTTGTAACTCAAAATAATTAAAAACCTCATTAGTCTCAACTTCAGACCTCCCTCCCCCCTCCAAAGAAAATTGCTCTTATTTTGAATTCTTGGATATAGTAGCAAGTCAGCTATCAATTTTTGCACTCTTATGAGCGTGCCTAAATTGTTCCAAAAAATTTCCCAATTTGCAGAGATTAAGGTTCTGTCCATACGAGCGCGGAACTCAGTTCGAGGAACTTGTTCCCGGAACAAGTTTTTAGCTGTGCTAAAACTTATTCCTCCAAAACCGGGAACTTCCCCTGTACTCCGAGCTGCCACATATGTTTCTTTTGATGTGAATTTGCTTGTTTTTGTTTTTTACGTCCTTTACATATCTTGACATTTATTTTTGTTACTTTGGCGGTCGTGATAATCTATTATTTTGCAATAATTTTATAGTTTTAATGAAGTCACGGTTCCAGTTAGGGCGAACTCGTGTGGACAGCATGCCTCGTTTCAAGGAATAAGTTCCGGGAACTGAGCAGTTCGAGGAGTAAGTTCCGCGAACTACGCTCGTGTGGACAGAGCCTTATGTTTGGGAGGATCTTTCAATGTATGAACACATCAATGATTTGGTGAAATCTTAAGTCGAAGAAGTTATTAAAGTTTTCATTTTGAAATAGTGCCTGACATTGAGGACCTAACAACCTGTAGTCAAAGTTTTCATCTTGAAAAGGAAACCTGCAGGAATTCATGTCAGAAACTTTTTTTTTTTTTTGTATTGCGCAATTCTTTTCAAGAGTTGCTGTCAAGGAATTTTTAGTTTCTTCCATACCACTGTTGGTACGAACAGAATTTTGATCCTTCCATAGGAAATCAAAACAAGTCCCCCTCCATCAAATTTCTGAGACACCCTGTGTATATATTCTTTTGAATAATCTTCAAATATTCACTTGTACATAAAATCTAAAAAAGTGTATTTTTATTATTGTTTTCTGCTCAAACAAGTTTTCTTCAACTTACTTGCACTTATTAAGTTAGTGCAACATGCCCATGTCTCATTAGTCTAAATGCTGATTACTTTGAAATCAAAGTAAAGAGTCAAAATTGAAGAAACTCGTAATTTGAAGTAGGATATTTGAGTGTGGATCCTTACACCATCATTATAATTTACAAAATTATAGAGAAGTTTTGCGTTTTAAAAATTATCAAAATAGTGATTAAATAAAGAGATTTATTATTATTTTATTACAAAGTCATCTGTCTTTTACCTTCTTCTTCGTTAGCTTAAAAGTGTCAGTTGCATCAGTCAGAGGATCGTGTCTTGATTCTTTGAGTTTATAGATCTGCAAACATGAAGGAGATGTATCCATATGCTGAGAATTTACGTTTATCATTAAGGGAGATATCACCCATTGAAAAACCCTCCGTATGATATCAACCATGGTATACACCATTGAGATCTATGATGTCATATCCACCTTTTTTCGATGAGTGATAAATTCGTTAGTACTGGATGTAAAAACTTGGCGTTTGAATATACAGTATTTTCTTGCTGAAAAGTCACTCATAACGAAAATCTCTTTTGCGAAGGAATCGCCTGGTCCCTTAAACGATTTTCTTTCTTGAACGACTCTCATTATAACGAAAATCTCTCTTTTGCGAAGGAATTGCTCGGTTCCTTGCCGATTTGTTATAGCGAGAGAGTACTGTATCTTAAAATTGTTTGCTGATCTATGATCTTGCAAAGCCAACACATGGTTCAGTGCCTAGTGCAACTGACTCATGTACTTGTTCAGACCTTTAGCTGCCAATATTAAGGTTCTTAAGGCAGAAATAAAATTGAAGATGCTTTGACATCCACCAACATTGCTATGAATGGCTGTGCCATTCTAGTGCTCTATCCTGTCAAGCAGACGGAGTTAAGAAAGGCATCATCACCTGAACGAGTTGGTTTCTTTCTGTTTAGCCTTGTTAAGATTGTAGTGCCCAAGAATTGTTAGTAGAACTGCAAGGCTGAATTCCGGAATTCAGCCCAACAATGCATATCTATTTCCAATCATATCTGCCACTTACCCATGTTGACCCCTGGAGCCTTGCAGAAGTGGTGCAATTTCTTGGAGTTGTTTGGAAAAAGGGGGTATCTTAGTAGCATCACAACCTTGATCCAGAGCTGGTAGATAGGGTAAGTGCTCAAGCACTTTGATACATGTTTCCTCATCGAAATCTCACGTTTACGTTGTCAGGAGAATTGAATAATTTTCAGCCTTGAGTGGATATTTAAGTTTTCAATCAGTAGATTTAAACTTCCCGCCTAGGGATGAAACCGTAATGTAGGTAAGATGAATTCCTTTCCTCCTTTGTTTGGTATTCGTAATCTTGTCAGCAAAATACAGCACAATATAAGAAGTATTTTCCGTTTCAAAGCGCACTGGAATTATTTTTCCACCTTTGACTAATGTAAGATTTGATATTTTGGCAAGATGAAATGAAAATCAACAGAAGCAGAATAAGCGAATTTTCTTATGAAGAGGTGTAGGTACAACTTTTGGCACATTCATTATGTCCGTAAAATTTAAATTCTTCATAGATTTCTTAAAGGAAACAAGTATCGCAGTGCTTAATTTCTCATCCTATCAAATTAAAAGCAAATTGAAAAGCTTCAGATTTGTTAATTGATGATTTCTGGAATTTTTCAAATTAACATACTTTCTTTAAAACTTTTTTGTAAGTTTCTATATTAATGCCCCATTGAAACTCGATATTGTTTTCTCTGGATCCCCCAATAGCTGAAAGAAAATGTCAAAGCACATCTGTGCAGATAAGTCAGTCCTTTAATTATTGATCCTTCCAACTTATAAAGCTTTCCTTCAAGTAACAGAATGAATTTTACTTACGGGTAAATCTAATTCACTACATACCTTAAGTTTAGATGGGTGCATGGGGGAGAAAAAAAAACATTAGAAGACTTGTTAAGTTGTGATAATTATTCAATTCTTTTTCTGTTACATTGCAACATAAAAAGGAATTGTACTTTGTGAAAAATAAATTAAATAACAAATTCTTAGGAGGTTAGAAAGTTAATTAAAAACTTAGGATGCATTGTTAACTGCATCTCTGGTAGAACTTGGATGAGCACAGATAAGAAAAAGTGAAGAAAAAAATCCACCAGGAAGGAATCTTTGAGTTCCGATAGGCAGGAGTAATTACTTCCTCTATGATGATCACAGGATTCTATGTATTCATGTAGTCATAATTCATGATCAATTCAATCTTCATCTGCCTCTAAGTGAATGTGATTTCCAAACCTAGCTTTCAGGGTCACTTTCAGCTCTGACATAATATCTACGATTTCAGCGCTTCGTTTTTCAATATCCTTTATACTGGCATCGATTTGGGATTTGGTTTCTTCCAACAGACTCTGAAATCAAACATTTGAAATAAATATGAATTCACATTCCTTGAGTTGATTTCAGTCGAGATAGAAGTTTTCTGGTAGGACTGTGTGGTCAGTTAAGGCAAGGAATTAGGCAGTAATTGTACAAGTCAAGTTTATACCTGGTGTACCTGGTGGGTGTGGGCAATTAGTAAGTGAATCCATGGAACGTTAAGAAACTGGATTTTCGTAATCTATTGCATACTTTTTGAAGATTTCATTTCCTTTGAGCAAATAAATTTGCAAACAAATCTAAATAGTGAGAGCCTCTATAGGCTAATCACTGAGATTTTAAGTCAGCACAAGACACTTGAGTAGGTATATACAATATATTGCATGCCACAGAAAGGGCTTTATTATTTTGCCTTTTGAGCTACATCCTAATTTTAGTAAACAGCCTCCAAGAACACATACTTAAAACTTAATGGTCTCATTCTGCATTTTGGTGGGGAATGACTTCATCAGGAATCAAAAAAATTTCAGAAAAATCTAAAGCACCAACCAATTTACTTTAAATTCATTTATTTTTTTAAATCCTCCTGTTTTCATCCTCTTTGTGTTATTTCAGCAAGACCAATCCATTGCTTGGATGTAAAGCCATATTTGGACATTGCTAGCGGCTGAGGCGATAACTTTTTCTAATTTTTTTCATTCATTTGAGTACTTTTCCATACAAGAATAAAAGACATTGTCCAATTGTAAAGTAAAATGTTTATAGCAAAAACAGATGAAATCTGTTTTCTGCAACATTGTAAAAAATGAGTTAAGCCCATGCTAACCTGAGTGCTTGGCATATCTTGATGAATAAATATGTCTCCCATCAAAAAGGGCACTTTGGTGTCATCATCTGCTAATTCTAGTTCTTCAACAGCATCCTTTATGTTCTGTAGTTCATTCTGAAAGGGAAAACCAAAAATGAGCTATTTACTGGGATGAAATAGAAGAAAACGATTTGTAATTAGAAGGGTGTTTCCTTCCTACAAAATATGAGTGATTTGAGCACGAGTGCTCATTATTCCATACTGTGCATGGTACTTGAACTGAATGTTTAAAATACTCAATATTGTGTATTCTTATATTCTTTGTCTGCAAAAATTATTTCTCCAAATTGTCTCATCTTCTCACTTCAACCACCATTTTCTCACCTTGACACCATTTCAATATACTTCTTAGTGCAGTTTTTTTGGATATATTTTTCTGCTATTCAATAATTGCCAACTTCCATCGCAACTTGCTTGATAAATGAGAGGAAAATGTCTTCAAATACCTCCGCTGTGAACGTTCTTCATACGTCATGTACTTAATGGAGTAGTTGAGTTAGATTTATTTTTTTGCCAAAGTTTTCCAAAAAAATTTCCATGTGAGAAGTCACCTCTGCCTCATGTTTTGCCAGGAAGATCTGAAGGTTCTGAAGGTAAATCTTCACTAGCAGTTCAGGAAGGATTTAGCATGAGGCGCTGCTAAAATCTGATTCCAAAATTAGCCATTATTTTAATGATATGACTGATCTTTATGTAAGAATCTGACACTTAATATTTTAGCAGCATACCTCTAGAGTGGATAGAATATAAACAAAGTTTTGTAAGTTCAATAGTTGAGGCTATAGAAATAGATCCCAGTTTTTCTAATGGACTCTTACAGGTGCATACAATATGTTTCTTATGGCACATGATGTAAGAGAAATATCTGCTATAGCCAAGAGCGATTACTAATCATCGATGGATCAAGGTCATTTCACTTCCTCTCCTCTTTTCTGGAATCAACTTCCGGAGCTTCAGAGATGATGCTTCCTTACTCTTTTTGGTGTCAATGGGAAGAATGAGGTTCAATCTACAACTTGCACCTTTTTAATTCAAACAGAGTTCTGTGATTTTTGAATCAACTCACAAGAATTCCGAGTAAGCTGTACAAACTCCAACAGCAAAATCTCAAAAATTATGAGACAGCAGGGGCACCTTCTGCCCAGAAAAAATGTGTAACTACAAAAGCTGAATATCACTGATCTTAATGAAAGAAGTTAAAGATAAAACTTACATTTTTAATTTTGAGCTCATCTTTAAGATCTTCTAATTTTGCATTCAAGTTTGCAAATCTGTTTATTTTCTGCTGATCTTCATACGAAATGTGAACATCTGAATCCTGGAAAATTAGAAAAAAATGACTGATCATATTTTCAAGTAAATATTGATGACCAACCAACCTTTAATCGATGGGTAATAATTTTGACTGACCAATCAAAAAACTTCGTACTAGTACAATTAGGTCTTTTCACAATGTTCAACTATGACCAATGACAGAAAAGACTGAACAGATCCCTGCACGTAAAATGAAAATGTTTTTTTACTGGCTAAATTTCACTCTCATTTGGTAAGATGTTCTTCATGGTCTTATGAACTTTCAAAATACATCGCAGGGCATAAATTTCAAGAAAAGCGGGGCTGAAGCATAAATGTTCAAACACTTTCACACAAATTATCCAGTTGAGATGTTACAACACCAGGTAAAAGATTGAATAGGGCTCGGACATTTGTCCGACTATCATACTTTAGGTGCAGGGTCCTTTCTCCTTAGAGTTTGTGACCAATTTATTAATCAATATTCATCTAATGTTCTAGGTATTTGAAGATTCTTTACGTTGCTCTCATATTTATACTTCCTGGTACTTAGTCATGCGCAAAATGGCACAACTGGCGATCAACATGCTCAAAATACAATGATGTTACGACACTGACACACTGTCAGTGCGGTATTCGGACCAGGGTTACGAGAGGCAGTAGCCACCCCCATGAATAAAAGTATGTTGACCACCATACCAAAAGCGGTCTGTAAAGGAGAGCGGCACTACATGCAAAGACATATAGAAATTGAACAGAAGATGTATGTTGCTAAAGTCTCTGGTTTGCTCTCTAGAGGAGAGTTTCGCAGGATTAATCGTAGACGCATTGCGATTCCCTATGTTATTGTCACTATCCTCTAGATTCTGCATCATTTTCTTGCATTAAAGGTGCGTTGTCGAAGTCAACTTTCCGTTTGCGTTGGGCTTCTCAACGCTAACGGATATCACGTGACAGTTGACTTACCCGTTGGAAAACGCGTTGTTGGTCGTCTCTGTTGACTAAAAATTGTTGTGTTTTGAATGTGACACCGCGTGCACAATATCATTTAGAGGTTAGCTCAACGCTCTCAACTACCTCCTGAGACCGATGACTTGTTGACTTACGTTTGGTAAACAGTCCAGGACATCGGGCAATCCCAACGGAAGTCGAACAACGCCGAGCGTTGGGCATCAGGTAATTCCATTGCCCAACGCTCCTCAACAGTTGACTTCGACAACGCAGCTTAAGTCGACAAAATCTTCTGTATTTCTCAACTTTTAAGACTTTCACAAAAATAAAAGAACAGCAGGCCCAGAACCTGATCATGTTGCTTTGAGAAAAAAGACGCCAAGTGAAGAGGAAGTAAGCATAATCTCACTTCTACGTCACTCTCTATAGTCTCCAATTTCAAGAGATCTAAAACAGTTCGGAGACTGATGTAGCAAGTCTCCGGGTAATTTCTTGGGAGTCTAACAACAGTTGTTGTTGTCTCTTGGTAATGCCAGAGAGCTCTTTAGAGACTTTAGCAACGTAACTTCTACCATCGATTGAAAAAATTTATCTGTCTAGAACCATTTTAGCAGAGAAAAAAGGTGCATTTTAATGTAAATTTTGGCTTACAGTGCATATGGTCTACATGTGGTGCAGCTACAATTCACGAGGTATGAAGTTACCAGAGGAAAATTTTCTTACCGGCTTAAAACTTCCGACAGTTCCTCCCGCAGATGACATGATGGTCGCTTGGTAAAATGATAAAACTGAAATCCAAATTTTATTAAAAAATCATCAAAATGAAGCAAACGAAACGAAGGGAAAGAGACAATTCCAATTATTTGTGGTAGTAATTAATGTAAACAAATATCTAACCTCAAAAGGTGCATTGTTTTCATTAACATATTGCCCAAAATGACGTAACAAGGTGGCTGCCAAAATTCATCAGACACCCCCCCCCCCCCATGAATTTCCAAAGAGAAAATCGAAAATTCAGTTGGCTCGTTTTTGTTGTAGCATGGTGCTCTCGTTCTCGTTTCTGTTGCACAAGTTTTTCTCAATTAATTGAATTAATTCAAGACGCAGTTTATTTATATCACGTAGTTTCCAGAGACGATTATTCTTCGGTTTTATTGATGTTCCAGTGCTCGTTCAGTTACCATTGGTTCTGTGAGATAATTTGAATTTAGAACCTGAATCCACTCTGCCTTTTGCCGCCCGCACTCATCAATGACCATCGCGTGTTAGCAATCAAAATGTTTGGCCAAAGTGAGTTTTGAATGGTATTTCATTTTACCTTTAAGTTTCATCCTTTTTCTGTTTCTTTGCTCCCACGGAACATGCCATCATCATTCGCAGCTTGTTTATTTATGTATCTGTCAAAATCCTTGGCTACCGAAGTTGCCTTTTGATGCAAGCCCATGCCAAGGCGCAGAATTCATGATGTCCTTATTACTTAAAATTTCCGTTATATATACTGAAAAACATCGTTAAATCCTTGATTTTCTTCATCAGATGTTACAAAATTTGTAACATTAGTCGAATCCAATTTATACGTACTTGTTACAGGCTTACCACTCACGAACGGTTATGTTGACAGATAACGTCAAGTTGCTGTGTCAAAGTTTTCTTTCTCAATTGTATTTTCTTCCCCTGTTCACCAAACTTTATTCCATGGTCTGAATGCTCTCTTGAGTTCCTTTGACATAGTGTGAAAATGAAGTGTGTTTATTCAAGAACAATTTCTAATTTCCGTTATGAAATGGTCCTAAACAGTCCTTTTTTCGCGACAAAGCAGCTTTGGGTTCCTTAGTTCCATGTTTATTCCCATCTTCTTCTTACTTAATGCAAATCTGAATTGAACATATCTTGTGTTTCTCTCTTTCAGGGTCCTCTTTTTTATGATTTATTTCAGATGGTAAAATTCACAACATTGTGAAATATATTTCTCATTTGTTTATATTGCATCCGGAGTCTGACAATTACTAACTATTCTAAGAGATGTTCATAAATTGGTGAGGAATTTCTTCTAATAGTCAGAAGTACTATCAGCCCCCAGTTAGCGTTCTGAAACTGATCTGTTAAGTAGTGCTGACATCTTGATCTGTGGCGACACCAGAACCTGTCAATGGCCGAATGGCTGCGGATTCCAAACTATTATTAAACCTTCAGATCAACCAAATTTCTCAAGACATCTCTGTTTTGTCGTTAAAGTCAAAATCTTCAGTTTGACAGAAGATTTTATTCTGTGATGGCCGCTCTTCACTGATTGACAACCACCATATTTTATATGGCCAGAAAGTCTGAAACAAACTAATTCAACTCAAATTAAATCTTGAATTTTATTCAGAAAAATGAGGGGAGACACGTAGGCAAACAGGAAATTTATTCCTGATTAACTGCATCATGTGGCCTCCATGAGGCGTTGAAAGCCTTGCTTCTCATCTGCTCTTTCTCATTGATTCTCTAAAATTTGTAATTTTGCTTTTTGTGATTCCAAATGATCTTAATTTCCAGGTACCCCGTTTGGTGCTGCTTCAACATCAAATACAGGTTTTGGCCAATCAACATTTGGCAAACCTGCCGGGTTTGCAGCTCCAGTTTTTGGCGGAGGGAACACCTCCTTGTTCAACCCAACACCGGCCCAACCTCAAACTGGGGGTCTCTTTGGTTCTTCCACTACCACTCCAGCTTTTGGACAACCTCAAACAACACAAACTCCTTTTGGTAAGAGTAACATTAAAGATAAGCTTTTATTATCCACTTAATGTCGATTTCGTACTAGGTAAATGGATAATCTTGCAATTCTGAGTTTTTCAAGCAATTCTAGCAGAAATGTTGAAACTATATCGGCCTTTTTTCGAGACGGCGTCTAATAGTAGTAGTAGTAGTAGTTGTTTTTATAGGCGTCTAATAGTATTTGCAGCATGATATGGAGTTGGATGAGTTAAAAAGATCAATAAGAGAAAGAAAGGTTGAGCAAGTGCTTTAAACCTAGGAACCCACTTTTCGACTTTATTTTCTACCTTTACAGTAACCTCAAGCCTGACTGAGATGGATTTTCGGAAGGCGCATGGCAGTCTGTTAGTCTTTTGAGAAAGGCCCAGGCCCCTCATGAATGAACTTGCCTGATAATAAAGGTTGAGACAAAGTAACATCATGCTCGACGTCTTGTTCAGATTTTGAGTGTGAAGTGAACGTTAGCAATGAGTAGTAGATAGATGAAAAATGTCACAGAAAAGGTGCTTGGTAGCTTATTTAATTGGGACGTTTATTGTTAATGGGAATGAAATTTATTGAACCTGATGGATTACAAATGCTACATAATCATTACATCAAATCTCTTAATTTTCTCTCATCTGTTTTGCAGGACAAACTTCTGGCTTTGGCTCAATTTTTGGTCAGCAGCAGAATGCTACAACAAGTGGTACTTCGGGTACCCTTTTTGGGGCACAGCAGAATCCTGCTACTAGTTCAGCAGGTGGAACATTTTTTGCATCGTCAAACACATCAGCATTTGGTCAAACAAAGCCTTTCAGTTTCGGCACTTCAACAGGCTTGTTCGGACAAACACAGCAGCCGGCCCAACAACAAACTTCGTTGTTCGGCCAACCTGCAGCACAGACCTCAAGTCTCTTTGGAGCCTCAGCCTCAGCAACAAGTACGTATTTCTGTTGCTTACAAAAAATCTCTCCAAGAACTTAAATTTTCAAGTGCATTTTTTTTCTTTTTCCTCTGCCTGAACTGTCATGAAACCTGCAAAAGAAGCCTCTTTCTAATTCAATACTTTAAAGAAAAACGAAGAATCAAGAAAAATGTTCCTAACTTCTAATAGTGCCCCTATATCCCTAAAGAACATAACGCTCATGCCCTAAGACTTACTAAAATTTCTTTCTCCCCAAGCCTTGTATGAATTTGTAAGGCTAGACAAAATTGTAATCAAATTACTATTTTTACAAGTAGGAATTCCAATCAGTCATTCATTTGATTGAATTATGTAGTTTTACAACAAACCGTACTATTTTTATAAGAATAGCCTTCTTGTGATTGACCCCATCTAATGCCTACCATTTGTATTTAAATTTCTTACTTCAATAGAAAAGATGCATTCAGAGCATGGAATCACTTTTCCTTGAGAAAAATAAACATAGGCATGGGGGCATACTAGGAAAAAATAACGGAAAGAATTATTGGGGGGAAAAGAAGTCTCTGTGTTTTTAAAGCACCTGCTTTAATCATATCCATCTGTGTCTCAATAAGTGTTTTTCATTTTCTTGTAGATATTGTGGGAACACCAATTAAATTCAACCCAGTAACAGGAAGTGACTCCATGGTGAAAAATGGTGTCACCACACCCATTAACACTCGTCATTATTGTATCACATGTATGAAAGAGTATGAGGGAAAGTCCCTTGAAGAACTGCGATTGGAGGATTATATGGTCATCAAAAAAGGAGGACAGCAGCCGCAGGTATTTATTCTCTTTTTAAGCAGCTTTAGAAGTAGAAATATACTTTGTCTAAAAACAAAATCAGTAGGTCGCCTATGAAAAACGGATACGTAGATCAGCAATTAGTATACATGACAGAGATAAGTTAGCAACAATGACACATTGTATGATGTGGCATGGACAAAATGTTTCTCTGAAATGAATTTTTACACAGCAGCTCTGCAGTACAAATCAGCAGATCATAACATATTTACATGTTTTTAATAAGTATAAGACAATAACTAGAAGCTTTCACGAACATTTTAGTACGTAAAACCAAGGAAAAACGTGTAGATAATCAGACCAAACTGGTGAGAGTTTAAAGCTTGGGTTTTAAACGATGTTATTCTTAGAAAGAACAATTGTTAGAATTTTAATCGCTCAAAACTATCAGAATAAAATGATCATGCTCTATTGGCACAAACTGAATTGAACCTACTGCAGTGTATTCTCTTGCATACTTAACCTTTTATCTCCTGCTGCCATGTATACTTGTTCCTGAAAAACAGCTAAACTAGAATTTACTAGCATTCATGCCTTCATTTGAATTTACCACCCTCATGCTAGGTAGGAAATTCAAATGAAGTCAAACATGTGAATACATAACGGCATAGCTCTTAGGGATCAGTTTATTTCCTAAGAATTTCTTTGACCTAGAGAAAGCTGCATTTATATTTCTAACTCAACAGTGAAAATGTTGAGAATATTTCCTGTTCAAAACTCAAGTACGTACAAATTTCTCAGTTTAATTTCACACTAATGGTTCCCCCGCACAATATCCATTTTCTTGTGGATAGGTACATTTATGTCAATATTTCATCTTTTAATTTTTGATTAATTAGTTTTGCTGGCAAAAAAAGCTAAGTTTCAAGTAGCTTTTAGAGTATATTCAAATTATTTTCTTATGCTGATGTTGTTTTGTTTAGCATATATATGGCTTCTCAAATTCAAATCCCGAGTTTGCAGCTCTAAATCGAACTCGAACCCGAATTCGAACGAGAAGAGGAACCAGGATCCAAATTGCAATCCTAGTCTTTCACTCCTAGCTAGCTCCTGCATTTTTTTTTCACTGCTCATTTTTACTACCCATCTCGAACCTACTTTCTCCTTTTTTTGCTTTGTTCCAATAAAACATTCTGTTTCCCACCTTAATTTTTATTTTTTTCATTCCTTTTCTACATCATCCAAAATTGATCAGCTAACTCTTCCATCCTCCTAATCTTTAACAAATGAAACCAACATTTAACACGCAGTAAATTGACCCTTGAGCAAGTATTTAACTTTGATCAACGGATAAATGGTGGATACTCTTAGGTTTTCACATGTGAAAACCTGAAAGTCACCATTTGCTATAATTCGTTTTTTTTTTTTTTTTTTTAAATTGAAGTTGCTTTTAGTATTTATATGAAATTAACGCGTAGTCTCCAAAATTATAGATTTTATTTTAATCGAAAAAATTAGGGATCCGTGAAGCTTTTTCGCGTTTTTCAAAGCGAAGCAAAGCGGACCAAAAAAACCTTTCAAATACGCTGGATGCAACCGGCGGAATTTTGTGGCGGTCACTCCAGCGAGTCGCGACTCAGCGTGCGGTAGGCATGCCGCGGTGATAAATTTAATTGAACACCGGGAAATACGTGAAGATTACATTCATTACATTTCCCTCCTTTTCCCCTAAATTTTAAGAATAAATTTTTATTGAAATGCCAGCAGATCTACGATTTTTTTTTTTAACTTGCCATTGGTTTTGCTTTAATTATCACGGAATGATAAAAATAAAAACTGTTTTTACTTTTTCTTTTCCTTTTAATTTTTTTTTTATCTATTTTAATTTAAAACATAGCAATACCTACAAAATTGTTGTAAATGTAATTTGAAAACCATTGATTTAAACTTTTCAAAAAATTTTATTATGGTGGAATTGATTTTAAGAGAAAAGGCGCTAAACAATTTTTCCAATTCCTCGTGGGAGCACTGTAATGTATTAAACAAAATTTGCAAACTTAACCTCAATATTACAAAAATGGCGAGGTTTTTTCTTCATCCTGCAAAATTATCAGTTTGCAGATAGGCAGCATTTGTTATTGGCTATCGTAGTGCTTTCATTTACACGTATATATAGCATATTCCCCACGAAATGGTGTGGACCCAGCACCATTTCCCCACCTTGTTATGTAACATATTACGAGCTTTACTAACGAGATGTACATGTATCATCATAGGGCACAACTCCTGGTCTTTTTGGATCCACAGCCGCACCCACTCTTTTTGGAGGGGCTACCACCAGTACAAGTACGGGGACGGGTATTTTTGGATCCACAGAAAACAAACCCTTGTTCGGAGGAACAACAAGCGCTATTGGTAAGTAAAAGTCTTTGGAGTTATATTCTGTACAGCCGTATTCTTTGCAGCTCTCAAAAATTAACTTCAACTCTAAGTGCTCAATAGACTGTTAGAGCAGCTTAGAAACCAAGCCCCATTATCCAGGCAATCTGATTGAAAATTCCGGTAAAGTATGGTGGGCACAATATTTTTCTTTTATTTCAATTTGCATAAGAGAAGGAAGCACTTCTTGTGTCTTAAAAATTGAAACTCTCCGCTTGCCAAAGAACCAGAATCTCCTCAAATCCAATCGAACACGGTCCTAATTTCAATGCGCTTTTCAATGGACTTGCTTTAAGCTTCAAATTATCGAGGTGGATGATTTCATACACTGTGTTTGTAAAGGGCGATATCCTGCTAATATTGGATGTAAAACCACGGTGCTTGGACGGAGCGTAACTACTTTTACAAATTTTACACTGGCATTAATGTTTCTGTAATATCCCTTAATTCTCAATCAACTATAATCAATGAAAAACTATAACTAGTTTCCCAACTTACCTCATAAACTCCCACTTCTTGTTTGAAAGGAATTGAGTATAGTTAAACATAAAATCATGTATGTAATCCTGAAAAATTTAAGAGCCAACAAATTTTACAGAGCACAGGATGGGTAGAGGAATATATGTTAAAATATATGTGGGATTAAATGATCATCCTTTTATCAAGTTCTCTTTTTGAATGCTATTTTTTTCCTATGAAGCCGAAGATTTCAATTGTTTTTTTCTTTATTACAGGCACATTTGGCAGTACGTCTGGTGGCACATTATTTAGCAGTAACACAGGCACCACTGATTTGTTCGGTAAAAACCAAACGGCACCAGCTTTTGGCGCTCCTGCGGCAACTCAAAGCACAGGATTCGGCTTCAGTGCTCCGACTACTTCCAATATGTTCGGCACAAATACCGCTCAAGTCCGACCTTTTGGAGGTATGGATTATTTTCACATACCAATGGGGGATGTAATTTATATTCAAAAATAAATTTAAAGAATGAAAATAAGATACTCTGAGTTTGAAAGCATGAACTAAAAACTAATGAACGTCTTAGATTGCTGTTAGCAAGACTTACATTAAAAAATTTTCAATTTACCATCGGGAAGTTACAGCTTTTCTTCATATGTGTAGTCAATCAGTAGAATTAATACATAAAGGACATAGAGTCGTAATGTAAGTGGGAGAGCTGACGCCACTTTTAAGCATTTTCCATGTCCCGAATTCCGAGACTCCTGTGTGACGCTGGGTCACTTTTTCGATACATGATCGATTGTTTGCGATAAACGGGTACCCGGCCATCCGATGACAACAACAACAAAGGAGATAGGAATTACCACGTATTCCACACCGCCATTTTGGATCGAAAATGTGTCGAAAAAGCAACCCGAACTCGGCGCACACCGGGCTCGGAATTCGTCGAGCAGAACATGGCGCCAGCTCTCCCACTTACATTACGACTCTATGTACTCAATGAATTAATATTATGACAAAGGTCCTTTTTTTTTTTTTTTTNTTTTTTTTTTTTTTTTTTTTTTTTTTTTTTTTTCTAAATGGTTTGCAAGGATGGGATCACAGCACTGTGCAACATATTTTTTCCAAAAATGTTCACAAAGAAAACGAATTGCACAATGGGAAGCCTGGAAAACAAGATATAAATGTTTACTATTAACATTGGTTAAATGGCAACAATAGGAATGACATCATTTGTATAATCTGATTTCCATTTGATCCGTGTTGACAATAATTGTTGATATCTCGTTCAGGAGTTAATTTCCAAACTCTCCATTGTGTGGATCAATTTCTAAGTAAGATTTTGAAGAAAATACACTTGTTTCTAACTCAGACCGTTGTTAGTGGCACTGTAAGGATACTTCGCAAAAAGTTTTTTCCCTGGTGCATTCTGAGAAATGAATAAGATATTTCTTGAGTAATCAATATGAACGTAGTTTGATGCTAAATTTCCAAAAAAGCAATCTCACCTCATTTTTTTAAATGTAAATCACAATAAACACCTTCACTTATTTCAGCAACAACTCAAGCACCTACCTTGTTCGGAAGCACTCCTCAACAATCTTCTCTTGGCTTTGGAACCTCAACAACCGGCTTTGGAGGATTTGGAACTCAGAATCAGGTTTGGTTTTTCTTTTTTTCCTCTAGATAAATTTTGTTGGGATGAACCATCAGACAGGGTAAAAAATGAATGGACACAGATAATTTTCTCTCATTACAATGTTTTGTAGAATTCAATGGATACGCTAAAAATTTCCAGGTACAAATTGAAAGTAAGAGAAAGGCTTTTTTCAAGTATATCAATCCAAATTTCTTTCTACAGAAAAATTGTAGTCCCACAAAATTGAGCTTCAAAATAATTTCAATATGTTTTACAGTGAAAGAATTGAATTGATTTACAGTGAAACCTCGCTAAGTCGGTTTCCGGATAAGCCGGTAACCCGCTTTAGTCGGTAGAATCGCCCGGTCCCGTTTATCACCCATATAACACAATGCTAAATAAGTCTCGGTATCTCGGTTTGGTCAGATTCTGAACCCGCTTAACTCGGTGAAATTTTTCCATCTCGACCTGTTTTTCTTCGATCGTCACCCGAGATCAAGCCTAGGTAGTGTTTCCGTGCGCGGTGCGGGTCGGGTCAAGTTACGCCCTGGTTACGCCACGAAGGGTGAGCGAATCTTCGAGATAGTGCAGCGCAGTGCGAGAGACGACATCAGCTCCCCCTCTCCTCCTCCCTCCCATCCCCACTCAGCCCGCTCGTATCGGCACGAGCCCCTCTCCTCCTCCCTCCGATCCCCACTCAGCCCGCTCGTATCGGCACGAGCCCCTCTCCCCCTACCATCTTGCATTGCCGTTCCCCGCTCCCCCGAGGAATCTTCCTCAGAGTTTTTCGAGGATTTTAGCAATTTTAGCGAGTATTGTTACGTTGCATTTTCAGTGCAACGACCCGCCACTCAGCGGGCGGCCGCGGCGCATCACCGCGCGGCACTCCAACAAACGATTAACCCGATGACTTCATGATGCCCTGACACTTACAACACGCAATTTCAAGTGCATCTCACGAAATTTTACTCTTTAGTACCATTTTCTTCGATCAAATGGCTCTCCTAAACACTCCTACAAGTCACTCTACACGCACGTTTGCGTTTGTCCAATTTAGGGCGCGAAACTTGAAAAAGCGCGGCAGGAAAAGTGGCAGTCCGCGTAAGTCGGTAACCCGCTTAACTCGGTAAATTTTCTCGGTCCCGATGAAAACCGACTTAGCGAGGTTTCACTGTACTGAATTCTTCTTGACAATTGTAAGTGTTATATTTAAAAAGGAGTTGTTATGGTATGTCAAAGAAATAAAATTGTTTTCAACCCCCTGTTTGGCCTCTATTGATCTTGGATTTTTTGAGAAAGAAAAAGAAAGTTTCGGTTAACTGATTCTGATAAATACTAATATTGTCAATTTCTCCTACATAAATCAAGTTTTAAAATTTTTGTTATCCTCTACTGCTTGAAATTTTGACAAGGAAACATATCCTGTGGACGTTTAATTCTTACCCTGTCGAACGCATTGCCTGCCTTGCCGGTTTACTTGACTGGCATTGAAGGGTTCTTTAAGCGCCTTGCCTGCTAGTCATTTTGATGGGGATGCAGTGGCTTACATTGAGTACTCATGACAGGCTGGCCCTAGGGGGAGAAAGCATCACTGAACTTTTGTTTTATGTTCTTTTATTTTTGGAGGGAGAAAAAAAATTATGGCGCTGGTAGAAATATGTGCCCAAAACACTGCGGCAGGCAGTATGCTAATCGTCCATTGTGAAAATTTATTTTGCGTTAAGTGAGGAGTGTTAATATGCTTCCAATTAGTAAGGCCAAAGGTGATGAAGCTCTGTACCTCCCAAGCTATGTTCTATTTAAAAGGAATAGGTCTTGGTGCTGTCAGGTTAATTGCGCGCAAATTTACTAAGATGCTTACAAAGCACTAGAAGATAAAAAGTATTTTACTTATAATAACCAAAAATTAAAAAAAAAAAAAAAAAAAAAAAAAAAAAAAAAAAAACCAACACAATAGAGCAACTAATTATTGTATAAAACTGAGAAAAATGCGGTGCCTGGTTAGCTAAAATTTCAAATTTTAAATTCCATCTCCTAGCACAAGAGAGTAAAAGTTGGAGCGTATTGAGTCAAATCAAGAGGAAAAAAACAAAAAGTGTGTTGCTTTCTTAATCAACTATATTGTAAGAAATTATCAATTTTGAAATTTTAAGATGTATTTTTCAAATTATTTCATATCAACTGCATCTTAGGAAAACGCTTTTCTTGTCTAATTTATTTAACATCTGAAGCAATTTGTGTTTAAATGCATTAAATTCAGTCAAAGGTTTCACATTTTGATTTTGTTGAATGTTTGTTTTTGTTAGGGTGGTCTTTTTGCCCAGAATAAACCTGCATTTGGCTTGGGCGCAACCACAACAGCTGGCTTTGGGTTTGGCTCCAACACTGCAACCAACACGTCTGCATTCGGCGCTAAACTGGGAACCGCATTTGGATCAACGCCTGCTAGCACAGGATCGACTTTTGGCTCCACCATGTTCAACACCACGGCCACTTCTCAACCAACATCAGGACTCTTTGGGTCCACGCTCAAACCAACTGCGACTTTTTCATTTGGTCAAACTGCAACAACCAATACCTCTTTGGGTAAGTACATGAGACCTCCATTGAAGGGATTTTTCTCCCATTTATTGGAAGGAAAAAACTATCTTTCTGCCAGATCTTCATTGCATCCAGAACCAAATCTGCATTAGCAATTATTATTCTAGCAAAAATCTGTAAAATTTGCACCAGAATTTTGTATTTGCCTTAGTTACTTATAGCTCAAATCAATGCTCCTTCAAATGATAGCATTTTAAGGCAATTCATTGTGAAACTTTTTGTCACCCGCAGTAAGTTTCAACCATTTGTGAAGAGATCAATATAGGAGCATATTTAAAATTTTCCAATTCTGTCCTATCCTCTGGCACAGTCGCTTCTAATCTGGCAGCTGCCAATACCTTCAAACATTTCAGTTTGAATTTTTTTCCTGGCTTGCTTGAAAGGGAAAAAAGAACAAGGAATTAAAGGAGAAGAAAAAAAGTTTAACTTGCAAAAGTTAGAACCTAGTGGGGTGTTTTCAATCAGGATCGATGAATTTTGCTTGGAGCAGGCTCTGAGTTTCACAATTCCAAATTAGGTAGAATTTTATGCAAAGGCTAAAAACAGATTAGGACGATTTGACGACATTAACATGTTTCAGACTTGCACAGTGAAGGATGAAGCACTAAGGTTTTATTGTGCTCTATAAGAAGAAATAATTTATGTTCAATGTCGTGCATCCTCAAAATCATTTTTTGATTTAAGAAAAGAAAAATATTTCTACCTCTAAAAAAAAAATTTAATAAGCTCTATGCTAATCCTCAAGATAAGTTAATCTTATCTACACCTGATTCAAATCTCAATCAGAGCTACATTTTGTAAAGATTTTGCCACAAGTGCTCTGGAAGTGAGGGTCCTCTCATCAAACAATTGAAATTTCCCAGGGTTTTGAAAAGAAAAATGATCAAACAAAATACAATTTTGTTTTTAATTTTTTTGTCGGTAGCCTTAAGGTTTGATTTCAAATTATTCTGCTAAGATATTTAATATTGTTCTTTCATTTTATTTCAATCAGGTGGTGGGTTAAACCTTGGTAGCAATATGTTTGGCAACAATGCTGCAAAACCTGGAGGTTTATTTGGCTCAACAACTAACACTGGCGGAACTCTCTTCGGATCTAATACATTCGGAGGTGGATTGGGTTCTGGTTTTGGAACAGGAACTAACACAGGCCTGGGATCATCTCTATCATTTGGTGGCAACACTCTTGGATCTACAGCGTAAGTTATTTCTTTGATTTATTAGATTGGTACATATTTTTATCCCTAAACTTCCAAGCATTCCACAGATGGTAGTTTTTTTATCTCTATTTCAATTAATATATTTGTCAGTTTGCCATTCCGTTCTAGTTGTTTAGCTCACACCATGTGGTTCTTGATGTGAATAGATTTTTTGTGCCGGTAGTATTTTTTACTCAAGGCATGTATAAATTCAAAATAGACTCATCTAAAGGATAAAAAAATGACATCCTTGTTTACTTTTTTGTTATATGCATTCTGCAATTTATATAACATACTTTCCTTGATTTTGATTGAAGTCTATTTCTCTGTTCTTCGCCCTCTCCACACTAAAAAGATTTTTATTTTGTTTTCCAGGACCAACCAGACCCAAAACACTACTGTCAATGGCAATGTGAATCAACAGATTTTAGCCTTGGCCTCGATGCCTTTCGGTGACACCCCATTGTTCAAGAACTTACTCCCGGTAATTGAATTTTTTAGTTTTCTCTACTAGGCATTTTAAGGTATTAAAACTACGGTATGATTACTTTAATCATATTATAATCAAAAAGCTGAAGGAAAAAGTGTATTAATTTTCGGCATTGCAGATAACTTGCCTTATTTTTCTCTTTCAGAGCCCAATTGATAATTTTTATTAGAATATTGTATGATTTCTCTTTGTCCCATTAAAAATATCCTCTAAATATTTCCTGCATAAGTTTCAAGTGATATGTGTAATCTCATAAAGATTTGTGTAACTGTTCTAACTGTTTAGATCTGATAATGGAAAGAAAATAATTAAGTATTCCTCAGTATCCAACTTAGGTTTCATTATTTATAATATTTTATTTTTTTTCCGACAGGTAACTGGTAAAGCAGATACTCTCCTGAAATCTGTTCCCAAAAGCAAAAGTATGTTTTCGGAGAAAGATTACAAAGTATCACCTCGGCAGAGTCCTGGCATTAAAGTCAGGCCAGTCAATCGCTCTGATTTTTCAAAGGTATGTCAAAAGCATTTAATAGGAGGCCACATTGTAACTGCATTAGACCTTATTTACTGTGCCATTCGCTTGCAAGGAGTTTATCAGAAGGTTTTGAATGGGCAAGTTGAATTGACTTGCTCGGAAAGTGATTTGGTGATGTCCATTTTTCCTAATTTTAAGAAAACTGTAAAAAACTGCAAGTATTAAACCATGGTGGATTGTAGAAAACGATTCATATTTTTTTTCTAGCCCCTCTCCTCTCTAAAATAGAGAAATTTGAAAGAAAGAGAAAATGGATATTAGCTGCTTTTGTATAAGTCGTCAAAATCTCTGAGTTACAAAACTATTCAGTCCGTCTAGAAAGTATCAAAAACATGATAAACTGATAGATTATTATTCTGTGAAAAGATGAAACTATTCAAACTCGTAGCTTGTGAAGAATGTTTCTCAAAGGAGCTAATGGTAGTAAACTTAACTCCAGATATTGTCACACAATTTAAGTATGATCTACTTTAAAGTTGAGTCGCCTCACACACATTTTTAAGTTTAAGGTATGTATGTATGGGTTTGGTCTCAATCTATTTTATGGTCTATTCTAGAAATCATTATTTGATGGTTTGGAAGATATCAAAGATCAACAAGGTTCTCTACTAACGAAAAGTAATCCGAAAGCCCTCGTTTTACCTGCCAAGGATTTCAGCTCTCCAAACAAAAAAGCGAATGATGATGAAGTCACAATCCAGTTAGAACCACCTACAATTATTTCAAAATTTGCAAAATCTACATCAGCTGCATCGGATACCAGTGTTTCGTAAGTATTTTCACTGTAATGTAAAACTTTCTTAATTTGGAGGGGGCTTTTCCACACAAGCTATAGGTCAAGTGATTAACAGTTCTTAAAATTTTGTTCACTCACTTCCAACGAAGTCCATTTGTACTGTACAGATGCATTTCAAGCGAGAGGCTTGATCATTGCTGCGACTAGGAGATTTTTCTTAGCCTCCCCATTTTAAAAACTCCTCTTTCCTCTAAAATTTTAAAGAGATGACGTTTTTTCTATTCTAAGTACAAATTACTGCAATTTTGGGATAGATACACAATTTTCACCCTTCAGTGGAAAAGATGCGCTTTCGTTGTTGGTGCCCCCATTTTTAAAGCCTTCCTTTTCTCACCTTTGACCGATTGTGACATGCAGGTCGTATGACTGAGAAGTTTTTGTGCTCATGGTATTTTGGTTATTATATTCTTGTGCAATATGGGAAGGCTTTCACTTCCACTATAGATCTCCATTGCTCAAATCTGATGAGCAAAAAAATATCCTAGTAAAGGATTAAGTTAGGCCAAACAATAGATCGAAAATCATATGAAAATATATTTAACCACAAACGGACTCATAATGAACCTTCAATATTTTTCACTCATGTTGTCTGATTTTCTACTTCTTGTTTAGCGTAGGGCTGTTCATCAATGGTTCAAGCATTCATATGGAAAAGTGAGAGATATAACATCTTTGAATTTGTGGCCGATGTAACAATTTTAAAAGATGACTTTTTTCAGTCTTATTATAAAAATAAGAATATTAGGAATAGATGAAAAATTATTTTAAACAATAAAAAAGGCGCTCCTAATCTCCAGTGTGATTTTGGTCAGTATCCTGAATGCCTCTTATAAATAAACATTGGCATTATTCAGTAGTTTTTCGAACAGATGAATTAGATTGAAATCTATTGTTAATCGATTTACTCATTTCTCATTCTAACAGGAATATCAAGAAGTCAATGATCAGTTGTGCCATCCAAACACCCTCCAGAACTGAAGATTTTTCAAGCCGAAATGGGTAAGTTGTCCCCAGTCCTCAGTCATGACAAAGTTTAAGATTTCCCCCTCCCCCCTCTCTTTATTTTTTGTTTTCTCTATCTTAAGACTTAGGTGTTTCATATTTTTATGAAGACAAAGAACAGAGATAGAAGGGAAGAGATCAATAAATCGTAGATGAAAGTACCTTTGCTGCGGGCCGATTGTTGAAATTGATAGACAAAGCCATAGACAAAGGAGACAAAAGAGATACGGAAGGGTCCTGTTGGTGGAAGCGGGTGGTTCCAATAGACAAAGGGGGTAGGTAATAGACTAACTAACGGCAACCCACGTTAGATCTGACAGTTAGTCTATCATTTTCTCCCTTTGTCTGTAAGAACCACCCATTTCAACCAATAGGATCGCTCCATACGGCCTATGTCTTCTTTGTCTATAGCTTTGTCCAACAATTTCAATAATCAGCCCGCTGGGCCTGTATATTAAAAGTAAAGTCAGTGCTGAAGCCTAGAATGAGCCATCTGATAAATTTTTACTTTGCTATCATCTAAACTAACAATGTAAATTACTTTCTCCTTTCATGGACCAATGAACGCTCATGATGATAATTATTGCTGCTGTAAGATAAGTTTCTCGGCATCTCCATTAGCTTTCAAAGCAGAGCAACATCTCCTTATCTTATTTTGTTTTAAACGTTGTATTTTTACATTTTTTTCTTCTTTAAATTTTCTTCCAGAGAAAGCAACTCCAATGATTCGCCCTCCACAAAGAGTGGCTCCAAATCGTCAAGTTCGCCAGTGATGAACAACACCATGACACTCTTACTTCCGCAGAAAAACACCGCTGCCTTAGATGGGTCGCCATCACCTCCAGTGGTTGACAGTTCCAATCATGATGTCAGTAACGAGTCGGAAAATAGACGAAGCTTGGATGAGACATCAGCATCTAGTGAGGATTTATTAGCTTTTTTCTGTAACTCTTAACAACTATTTTTGCTCTCAATTTTTCCTCCTTTTTTATTTCCTTCTCTTTCTTACCCTCAATGACGCTAACAAACAACTTTAACCAAGACTAACTTAACATTAAGTTTGTTAATGTGAAACCTCAAGTCAAACGAAGATTTGATTTTTAAGGAATAGAAAAGTCATCCATATCCCCTCATCCTCATCAAGTCTCCTTTGTCTTAAACCTTTCACCTTTACTGAGGAAGTTTAATACTCATCCAAAGGCTTTGATACCGTTCGAACGTGTTTTCACCAAGCTCCCAGTTTCTAACCTAAATAAAGCGTAATACTGAACAGAACTTGTTCTGTTTAGTACCATTCTTTTTAGTTTTCATCCCTGCTCATTCTGAATGAACTTTTATTGAACTCTCTATCCCACAGGGATCTTAATAAAGTGTTTACGTGAGTGTAGTGCAGTGAGTGGAAGTGTTGCGCAACGTAAAAATTGCCAATTCTACCCACTCACTCACCGATTTTCTCAAATTCGCGCATGCGTATTGGAGAGAACTCATGGCAACGCTGTAAAAGATAAAAATCTAAACATCTGATGGAAATCAAGATTATAAGTCATCTCACTATGCATCGAATACTCAATAATCTGACTCATCGTTTGTAATCGTGACGACAGCAACGAACTCCTATCACTTCACTCTATCTCACGTCTAGCGTCGCACCTCCCCGCCGCGCCGCGCTGCGTCGCCGTTACCTCTCGCCGCGCGCTACGCGCGTCTTCGAGTCGCTCGGCTCACTACCTTCCGCCGACACGACGACGCGACGCTCGACGGCGTCCGCCCGCGCCTCACGAATCATCCTCCTATACCCCGCGCACCACTCTCTGCAACTCGCAGAAGTATTACTCCGCGCAACTCCATAATCCACTCCCCGCTCAATCCTCCCACCATCAAAGCAAGATGAAGGAATGCATACTTCACAAACTTGTAAATTGCAGAATTTGCAAATGCATTAGACACGGCACAACGGACTGTCTCAAAGACACCTGTTTCAAAGAGAAAATATCACTGGCGGACTGTGAAAGTAACACTCAACGGCGACAAGAAATTCAAAACTCACAATCAAATAAAGATAAAGGAATTCATCAAAATGCTCCCTCAACGAATGAAACATCCTCAATTGAGTCTCTGAGAGACCAACTCGGAAAAGTAGGAAACGCCTTAGAAACCAACATCACCAATATTCAGTCAGAAGACATCCCGGACTCAGAGAGAAGACTATTGAAGGAAGCTATTGAAACTGGAAAGAAATCGAAAGAAACCCTCTTGAAGAACATCAAAGAATATGAAAATAAACTCACAAACACCAACTCTGAAGGTGTAATAACGAACTCTACAAAAAAACAAGAAGATCAACGAACTTCACAAACAATGAATTCAGGATCTGCAACCACAACTGAAAGTCTAAATAACAACCTAGAATGGCTCATCCAAGACTCAAACACGAACAGAGAACTAATTCAAGAATACCAAACAACGATTTACTCAAAAATGGAGAAATTGAACGGAAACACACTAACAGAAGAAGAGGCCAAGCAAACCATATCAGAAATAGAAGACCTAAGAGAGATGCTAGTCGATAAACAGACCATTCAAACCACCTTAGAGGACCAAATAACCGCAACCAAAGATGAACTAATTCGAAAAGAAATATCAACTCTAAGTATCAAAATGGCTAAAACATCAGACGCTACAAAAGATAAGAATTTAAACGAAGGAACAAAAGAAGAACTATTTCAAAAGCTCAAGATCCTAGAAGAAAAGAAGGAAGCACTAACCCAAAAACTATCTAACTTCAATCCTATAATTGCAAATCAATTCAGAACTTCAACCCCGATTATGCAAGCAAAAATCACAGAAATGGAAATAGAAGAACCCTCAAGGAAAAGAGCAAAATCGAACTCTGACCTGAACAAATCAATGAGCGACTCGGATATTCCAAAGACCTTGAAGAAACTAAAGGATGGAACAATGAAATCATTCCTACAGAAAACACCAAAAACTAAACAGAAAGAAGATGACGACGGATTTATAGAAGTCACCTACAAAAGACTCAACCCACAAACCAGAAAACTTAGTAATACGAAATTACTAAAGAAAACCAAAAACGATCCACGACAAGAAGAATCCCAAACAAACAACTCAAAAAACCCAAAGACTCCAAATTATCAACAACAAACCCAACCAACAAACCCCTCCGACACTCACAATCAACCAAGAAACCAAACAAACCCAAGAAATTCGGAACTCCCAGAAATTGAGAAAACCTGGGAAGACTTCAAGAAAGATCAGACACAAATTTTCAAGAAACTGAATCTATCGAAACAAGACTTTGAAANTGCATATAATTTGCATAAATTTGCAAATAGAAACAAGCGAGGCAACATAGACCTCAGCGTATGTTTTGCGGATTTTATGTTTCAGAAATTCTACGATGCTGTTATACTGTATACAGAATTTTCTTTGTCTCCTTCTCTGTCACCGCCAGAAATCTTTTCTCCAAAAAATCTGAACCCTCCAAATTGTCTCTGGAAAATATCCCCAACACAATGATTACGATGTTTTATTATCACGACAATAATTTTCAGTCTTCAGGAATTTGTCTTTTTTTAAGGAATGTAATAGTTTTTGCGTCATCAAAGAGATTCAAACAATCAAAACAAACAATGTAAGCACGCAAGAGAAAATAGACAAAACGCTGAAACAAATAGAAGAAGTAAAGAATATTATATCAAAAAGCACACAAAAAATGGAACAAAGATTAAACGATGTAGACCGGACAGTACAATCACTGGAGAAAACCCAAAAGTCCGAGGAAACTAAAGAAAAAAACATCTTGGAGCAATATAATCAAAAAACAAGAGCATGCTTCATTAATTGCAGCAAAAAACCCTGATGGGTTCAATATAATCTTGCAAACATTGACAGAAATATCAGAAGAAAAATCAGAAGTTCAAAAAATCATTGATAAAATAGGCGAAATAGCTCGAAAATCTAACACCAAAATCGTAGACATACGAATTCTAGAAAACAGAAAAGGGGTCAACGTAAAAGGATTCTCAAAGAACACTGAAGTTATCAAAGAAGAATGGGCCCAAGAAATAAAGAAACTCACAAAATCAGAAGAAATCAAGATTTACACAAAAAATCCATCGGAAGTTATGAGAGCTACAGGACTAAGAAGCGATGTGTCAGACGAACAGATTTATAGTTTAATAACAGACAATCTAAATGATCCAAGTATTACTAAGGAAATAGTGAAACAGAAAGCAAAAATCTTCAGAAAATCCACATATTACACAAACAAAAACCGAATGATAGTATACCTCAGAGTCGAATCACCTCTCTTAGAGAAAATAACGAAACAAGGTGACTTCTATTCCACCAGTGGTACCTGGGGCACAATCCGGATCACACCAATAATATACATATCGCAATGTCCGAAATGTTTTCAATTCGGACACGGACCATTAAAATGTGAAAATGGCAACATCTGCAGAAAATGCGGTTCTAAAGAGCACCTCTTCAAAGAATGCAAAGAGAAAAACAAATCCTGCATAAATTGTAAAAACAAAGGAAACGGCCAAGCAAACAATCACAGCTGCACTGATAAAGATTGCCCAATCAGACAAGAAGAATACGAAAAAGAAACTCGAAGATGTAAAAATCAAGCTAACCCTCAAGTTTTTTCAAATATGATGGCGGAATACTGTTCATATAGTACACAACTCAGCTATAATAATCATGAATAATTTTTACAGAAATCAAAAACCAAAAGCAAACTCACAACATAAGAACTCCTTTAAAATATTGACAGAAGACGCCATCAATCCTAACAACTCACACCAACAACAAATTCCATCTAAAGAACTGACCTGCCAGCACAATGAAATCATCTCAAAATGTGCCTTCTGTTTCAGATTTCCCTTCTATGAAAATGTGCTAAACATATACTGCCAACATCAATCTGTTTACTTCAGATGTGATTTTTGCAAAGATCGTGTTATTCCGACATTAAAAACAAAAATTCAAGGGAAAATTTTTGAAGTTTACCCAAAAATGCCCTATTCATTCAAACTAACTAACCAAAATCAACCCTTCCAAGAACTCAACCTCTCAAAAAATCAGATACCCTCAATCTCCAACTCTGAGACATCACTACCTAAAACAAACTCTAAAACCAATCATACCATCATCTACGATCCTAAAAAAGGTTACTTTCAAAAAATTAATCCAGACAATCAAGAAAAAACCAAAAAAATTAATCCAGATTTATACAGATTCGAAATTATGCAACAAGATAAACTTACAGTCATTGATACCCCAACCTATACAACTACTCAATCAGAAAACAAAAAAACTCCAACCAGACAATCAAAAACAAATAATAAAGAAAAATCATTCGCCGCACTAGTTTGCAACATGAGAGAGATGCCGACAGCTTATGATGTCATTTATGAAATCTCAAATAGACTAAATGTTGGAATAAACATTTTTACCGAACCCAATAAAAACAGATCTACTAAAAATGGACATTTTCTAAGTTCGAACAATAGAACTGCTGTATCCACTAACAGAAATCTAATCGGTCAATCCACATCCTGGGAAAAACACGAAAACTTTGTAAGTTTCTCATGGAGAGGAATAACAATTATAAGTTGTTACTTCTCCCCCAATGACTCAAACGAAACACTAACTCAAGACCTGGACATCCTGAGACTGAAAATTCTACAAACTCCAGGAGAAATTATCATAACAGGAGATTTCAACTGCCGCTCTCCCATGTGGGGCGACAAATTATTAAACACACGAGGCCGAATTCTAGAAGACTGGATATTATCCACGGACTTAACAGCTGTCAATCAATCTATTGAATACACACCAACCTTCATAGGCCCACAGGGAGACTCTGTTCCAGATATTGTCATATGCACTCCCCAAACTTTGAAGAAACTGAAAGTCAAAGTCCTGGAAGATTCGGTACTCAGCGATCACCAAAGTATCCTAATAGAATTCAACTCCAACTTTTCAAACAACAACACACCGAATAAAATTCCTAGTCAAGAAGGATGGTT